AAAGAGGCAGGAACTCGAGACCAGAGCTGCCAGATAGAACTTTCTGCGGTAATAGGCACGTTCTGCATTTGTGAGGGACAAGACCGTAACCACTAACTACATGTGGGTCTTGAGCACTTGAAATGTGGCTAGAGCAACCGAGGAACTGATTTCTTAAATTTATTTAATTCTGATTCTATTTAAATTTAAGTGGGCTACGGGCTACTGTATTACAGTGCGGTTCTAGATCAGCGATTCTCAAATTTAACCTGCAGTAGAATCATCAGCAGAACTTGTTAAAGCTGATTGCTGAGCTCATCTGAGTTCCTGAGTTAGGAAGCTTGGCATGGAGCTGTCAGCTTACATTTCTAATAAGCCGCCAGGTAATGCTGATCCTTCCAGTCTGGGGACACTCTGGGAACCACTGGGCTAAACAGTATTCTGCTTCCAAACTATTGTTAGATATTGAACAAATCATCTTAAGTGTAGGTGTTGACTTTCTTGAAGCAAAATGGCAGCCTAGACTTTGATATGGCTATGGATTCAAATCCCTGCTCCTCTGTTAATGAGCTACATGAGCTTTGTTTCATTTCCAGCTTCTATATACAGTTGACCCTTGAACAATGCAGGGGATTAAGGACCCCAACAACCGTCCCCCACTTCCCCTACATAGTCAAAAGTCTGCATTTAACATTTGACTTCCCCAAAACTTAACTATTAATAGCCTGCTGTTGACCAGATGCCTTACTGATAACATAGTCAATTAACACCTATTTTGTAAATTATATGTATCATATACTGTATTCTTACAACAAAGTAAGCTAGAAAAAAGAAAATTTTATTAAGAAAACCATGAGAGAAAATACATTTACAGTACTGTATTTATAAAAAAAAAATCCACATGTAAGTGGGCCTGTGCAGTTCAAATCTGTTAGTCAAGAGTCAACTGTAATATTAGTTAACATTCAACTTCTCCCTCTCTGTTCCATCCACAAAATGGAAATAATAGTACACACCAAACAGGATAATTACAAAGATTAAATGGGATAAGGTATATATGCCATTCAGTATAAGTTCAGATCATGTCCCGCTCAGAAGATGTATTAAATGAGATTATATATGTGAACATGTAATTTGTAGCACAAGAAATACACATTTCATTCTGTCAAGATTACTCAGTGCCAGGGGTGTCTGGATGACTCAGTTGGTTAAGCTGCTGCCTTCAGCTCAGGTCATGATCCCAGGGTCTTGGGATCGAGCCCTGCATCTGGCTCCCTGCTCAGCAGGGAGACTGCTTCTCCCTCTACCTCTGCCTGCCCCTCCCCCTGCTTGTGCTCTCTCTCTCTCTCTCTGTCAAATAAATATATAGACTATTTAAAAAGAAAAAAAAAAGATTACCAGTGCTAGTGCATCAGTGTCCTACTGCTGCATATAATAAATTGCCCCAAAATGTAGCAATTTAAAACAACAAATACTTATTATCTCACAGTTTCTGTAGGTCAGACGTGTGGGCATGGCTTAGTTGGGTACCTCTGACTTAACATCTCTCAGGAGGGTGCAGTAAAGCTCCCAGGGCTGCAGTCTCATCTGAAGGCTCAACTGGACGGCCAAGGAATCCATTTCTCTTGTTTGTTCTGTTGTCTGTAAGACATGTATATTTTGGGGCAGCCAGGTAGCTCAGTTGGTTGAGCATCCGACTCTTGATTTCGGCTCAGGTCATGATCTCAGGGTCATGGGATGGAGCCCTGTGCCAGGCTCCATGCTCTGTGGGGAGTCTGCTTCTCTCTCTCTCTCTCTCTCTCTCTCTCTCTCCCTCTGCCCCCCCAACTCACTTGCGCGCGCTCTCTCTCTCTCTCTCTCAAATAATCTTTAAAAAAAATGAAAAATAAATAAAAATGGTTAAATTAGTAAAAAGTCCATATATCTTTTTTAAAAGACTTATTTATTTGAGAGAGAGAGAGACTGGGGGAGGGGCAGAAGGAGAGAGAGTCCTAAGCAGACTCCCCACTGAGTGCAGAGCCCATCATGGGGCTCAATCCCACGACCCTGAGATCATGACCTAAGCCAAAACCAAGAGTCATATGTTTAACCGACTGAGTCACCAGGTGCCCCTAGTTTAACCATTTAAGATTTATGTATTTTAGAGAGAGAGAGAGCACACGGAGGAGAGGGGCAAAGGGAGAGAAAGTCTTAAGCAGACTCCCCCTGAGCACAGAGCCCAACACAGGGCTCGATCCCACAACCCTGAGATCACAACCTGAGCCGAAACCAAGAGTTGGATACTTAACCAACTGCACCACCCAGGCATCCCTAACCATTTTTAAACGTATAGTTCTGTGTCATTAAGTACATTAAGTGCATTAAGTACACTCACATTGTTTTCAACCATCACCACCATCAAAACTTTTCCCTTTTCTCTAGCTGAAACTCTGTACCCATTCAGTACTAGCTCCCCACCCCCACCGGACCCTCAAGCTCTTGGCAACTATCATGCTACTCTGTTTCTATGAATTTGACTCTTCTGTATACCTCATACAAGTGGAATCATACAACATTTGTCTTTTTGTGACTTATTTCACTGAACAAAATGTCCTCAAGATTCATCCATGCTTTAACGTGTGTTGGAATTTCTTCCCTTGTTATGGCTGCATAGTATTCCATTGTACATACAAGTTTGCTTATTCATTGCTTCCTCCTTCTGGGTCTGATCCCACCCATCACAGCCCTCTCAACACTGGCCCCTCAGTGGATGCTCCTCATCCCAGGCTTAGTCCTGTGGAAGCCATGCTTGCTCCAGGGATGGGCCTGAGTAGCCTGAGGATCTGCCCAGAGCTTCCCCACATTCAGGGACTGTCCCCATTCTGGTCCTGTGCACTTATCTCTCCATCCAGGCTCTACTGCTCTTCTGTCTCAGGCTGGGATTACCACTTTCATTTATGGGATACCATAAATGATCCCAGCAGGTAATAGGATGCTTTGAGCCAAAACATGGACCACAACCCCCCCACATACTTGCTATGTTACACCACCAATATCTCCTCTCCCATATTCCATATTTGACCACTTAATACCCAATATCGTATTAACTACTTCAATGTTTCAAAAATTATAACCTAGCTGCCTCTTTTAAACAATTCTAATTTCCATTCTGCAGATGAGAAAACTGAGATTCAGAAAGGTTAAGAGAACAGCCTGAGGTCACACAACCAGAGGAGGACAGTGACAGAACTCCATCTAGTTCCCACTGAGTTTCCAGGATGTTGTGAGTGGTTTGTGTTTTTTTTCAGGCTGAGAGCCAGGTGGGATAAGCATAGTTTAAAGGGAATTGTTCTTCTGTTCTGCTCTGTAGTCACCCAGCATAACTCATCTCCCAGGACACAGAACCGCAGTCTATTGCGTAGGACAGCCCAAGCACAGGGCTTGAAATGCCTGGGACCACTCAGTCCTGTGGCACCAACTGGCCCCAACAATAAACCAGAGGTCTTCTGACCCAAGGGAAGCTACTGAGATGTCTCTCGTAGGTGTTTGGAACTGGGACATTAAAGAGCAAAGGGACTCCGATGGTGGAGCTGGAAAGTCCCGTAGAGATGGGGCTGTAGGTGGTGGCCTGGTGAGTGAATTATGCCAGAAGGATGTATCTTTAGAGGTAGGATAGTGGCGTACCAGTTAGATGCCCGGACCGTGGAAGTAGGCCGCCTGGTGTGAATCCTGGATCCCATGTATTAGCTGCAGGATTTGGGGCAAGTTGCCCAACCTTTAGGTGACCCACTTTTCTCATCTGCAAAACAGGGGAGCGAACAGTACTTCCTGCTACAATGAAACGAGTGAACACACACCGCAGCACAGGTGCACAGCACACCCTAGCAACTGCCAGCAGGCAGAAGCCCAGAGGTGAGAAGGCACCGCGGCCTCGGAGACCCCCGGACGGAGCAGCTCCCCGTGACTTTCCAGTTCCCAGTAGGTTGCCTCACACTCCAATACTTTCAAATTTAAAAATCGTACACCGTGTGGATTTGGAAATTTTACTTTTTTTATTGCAAATTTCTGGTGAAGGAAAGAACACGGAAGCTGATCGTCGTTTAGGCTTTGGTCCTAAGAGTCCACTGGGCCTCAGTGCCTTCTGGCCTCAGTGGCCTCCAAATCCCCCGAGGGCCTTGGATGCCTATGGATGCCTGGGTCTCGCCTCCCAGAGGTTGCGGCTCCGCTGGCCGAGGGGGCAGCCCGGGCATCAGTAGCTCTGCGAGCTCCCCGGGGCATTCCAGCAGATTGCCAGGCTGGAGAACCCCTGCCGGAGCTCCTGACAGAAGGTGAGCAGCATCGGGAGCACCTGAGCAATCTCAGTGGACAGCCAACCGTCACCTGCATACATCAGCCGGCCAGCTGGCCCCCTGGCCCTTTCTCCCCAGGCGGCCCACGTGCGGACCCTTCCTCCTCCAGGGACCACGGAAGAGGGAGGGGGTGTAACGCTCGGCGCTGTGGCTTGTGCTTCAACAGGGAAAACGGTACCAGATGTGCTTACTCTGTCACAAAAAGAAATTCACTTTCTGATTGCAAAAGAGCATTCCCCTTTGTTTTTTCACTGTTAAGTGGAAATCGTCTTCCTATATAGAGATGCAAAGAATTGTGACAAAGTTAAGGAACTACATGTTGGATGACATATTCCTTATAGGATTTCTCAGGTCCAAATTTTAAAAGAATTTTTGTCCAGCCACTGAAGTTGTAAAATACTATTACTTTAGCAGCATATTTTATATGGGTAAACAGTAATAGCCAGTTACATGTTTCATTTATGATTTATCCTAAAAATAGAAAATACTTTAATTTTCCTGAGTCCTTGGCAAACAAAAACAATTTTTTAAAAAATTCTTTAAAGAATTGTTTTCTTTTTCCTGGGCACCCTCACAGTTTAGAACAGTGTGTGTCTCACCATTGGTTTGTACGAACACAGGTGAACAATTTCACTGGCGCCAATTTTCAATGACTCATCAAATATGGCGATTGAAAAGAAAACACCCACTATCTACAAGGCTGCTCAAAATGAAAGTTTCTTGACAGTGTTATAAATGCAATATCAATTTGATTCTCTGTCCATACAAAAGTATGAATTTCTATTTCATTAATAATACTGAACAACTAATGTCTTAACAGTGATAAAATTTTTAGAACATTTAAAAATTACATAGGATCCCATTTTTACATCATAATTCTGATGTATTATCATGCCTTCTATTTTGTCTGTAAAACTTTTTGAGGATACAGTGCATTGACGTGGTAAAACCAAGGCACAGGATACAGTTACAAGTATATATAAACCTTATTTAGCACTTTGTGCCAATTTTGGAAACATTTAGAGGAGATCATAAAGCCTGAAAAATTCTCACATCCTATTATGATTTACAATTGATTGTGCAATAAACAGACTATTAACCACCATTCCATTACTAAATATATGGCTATCACTATACAGGCTGTAGATAATTGAAAAAAGTTTTCAATATTAAAACCTGGTATAAGTAGGTGGTAGATGCAGATATTGTGCCTTGTATAGCTAGATAATTGTCTTAAGTTTCCATTTTAATTTGCAATGTATATGGCAGTTATCAATCTTTAAGCTATCTTCATTACACAAATGGTGGTGGGGGTGGGGGGGTGGTTCTCCAAAAGTTAAATCCCTTCTCCCTACAAAAGACAGAAGATTTACAAGAAGGAAACCATGTAAGAAATGCACAGATAACATTAATAAAATCCAAATATGGACTAAAGGATTGAATTCTAATCTACCAGGACATTCTCTTAATTTAGGGTGAGGAGCTAACACATTCCTGTGACAATTCATTAGTTTCTTAATTAAAAAAAAAAAATCACCATGACATTTTTCAAAATAGTAAAGTCTTGGCTAGAGCGTCAAGCATTGAAGGAAAGTCGTTAAGTCTTTTCATTCATAAAATGAAGAGGGACAAAAGCCTTTCCAAATCTAGGGGCCGGGAGGATATTCCATTGAATTTAGAGAAATGAAAGAGTGTGGCAAAAATTGTACTTAATACTTTTAAAGGAAGTGTTTTCGAGACTTAAGGTAAACATTTAGACCCATGAAAACACATTGCTTGGCACATGCACGCCATGAATAGAACACTCCTGAAGGCAGTGACCGCCTGGCCATGGCGGCACCTGGCTCTCGCCCCACCAGCAAAACCACTTGTGAGGTCCTTGTCCCAGCTCCCCTCACATGGGGGGCTCTGGCTTCTGCATCTGCTGGATTTGCTTCTGCAGCTGGTCCTTGTCCAACTTCATCTTGGCTTCCAGAACTTGCCTGAGGGATCCTATGCTTTCATAGATGGCCGTAAACCCTTTAAGAAGAGGTAAATTTTGCAAGAGTTAATATTAAAATACAATGTTGCGTCAAATTTTACAGCATATAGTAATAGCTGATTTGGGCAAAAATTATCAATAGATGCTAAGACTACTGGAGTAAAAGTATGAGAGGGGACAGGATAGTTACACAGTTTTATAGTATCTCCCTACAGATTGCTTTCTAATTACAAAGCGGGGAGGGAACTATTACAACGGAGAAGTCTGGCAGGTACCGCTTTAACCAAGGCTATCAAAGCTAACTTCACCAATACCAGGAGAAACCAACATCACATACCCCTGATAAGGTTCCCTGATAAGTGAGGGACACCCTGCTTCTGTGGCATTTCTGTCAAAATGCACTACCTGAAACTAATTAAGAGGAAGCAAACAGGCCCAAACTGACATTCCACAAAACACTGGCCGGGATTCTTTTTTGGCCTGGATTCTTTAATGATGTAATATCACTGAGGAACTGATCCATATTAAAATTCACTAAATAAAGAAATATGACAATTGTCTATGCTGTATGATTCTGGAATAGAACCTAGACCAGGGAAGGTCTGCTATAATGGAAACAACAGTGAAAGCTGAATATTGAAAAAATTTTCATCAATATTTCACTGGACTATAGTTATTTAAGAGAATGGCCCTGTCCTAAGGGCATATAGATTGAAATAATAAAGGAGTAAAAAGGCATCGTAACTTCTGCAACTTATTCCCAAATGACCTAGGGGAAAAAATTATATTTACACACACACATACACAGAGGCGCGCGTGCCCACGTGCTCCCATCACCCAATGAGATAAAGAAAATTTCCAAAATGTTAACAATTGGTTAGTCTCTATGAAAGATGAATAGTTTTTGGACTATTCTTACAGTTTTTCTAAATTTGAAATAATTTCAAAATAAAAAGCAAAACAAAAGAAAAAAATTCCCCACCCCAAAAGCATTTCATATTACTCTGTATTTCTATGGGTTTTTAAAATACATGTTTAAAAGTTCTCATCTTCATTAGTAAATTCAGAATTTTCTCTCAGGGGCACCTGGGTAGCTCAGTTGGTTGGTTGAGGGTCCAACTCTGGATTTCAGCTCAGGTCATGATCTCAGGGTCTTGGGCTCAAGCCCTGTGTCGGGCTCCATGCTCAGCACTGAGTCTCTCCCTCAGCCCCTCCCACTCATGCTCTCATGCTCTCTCTCTCTCTCTCTCTAAAAATAAATAAATCTTTAGGAGGAAAGGAAGAATTTTCTCTCAGAAAATATTCTCTATTGACAATTCATGTCATATAAGGAATAAATATTACTTATTAAAAATAACATTCTTATTGAATAGAAAGATACAACATGTAAAAGAGTAGGTGAAAAATGTATGGTATGAGCTTTTACTTGAAAAAGCACATATATGTATAAAATGACATATATAAAGATGACCCCGGGTGAGAGAAGTTATGAGGGTTTCAAAAAATATTTTGTGCTTTCTTATATCCTATTAAGAAAACAAGAAATATTGTTTTTGGAGTAGGAAAAAGTAAATCTTTTTATTTTTAAAAAGTTTATCTGCCCTTCTTATTAGATGAATGTTAACCACCTCAATGGCATGTTGAATAGAAGGGAACGAACCCCTCAAGGAATGATGCGAAGTTAAACACTGATGAAATATTCATGTACCATATTCTAATAGCCCCAAAGACAAAGAAAAAAATTCATTTTTATCTTCACAAGTTCTTCAATGAATAAATTGAGCTGTGTCTTCTACTTCTTTTTTTTTTTTAAGATTTTATTTATTCATTTGTCAGAGAGAGAGGGTATGCAAGCAAGGGGAGTGGCAGGCTCCCCACCGTGCAGGGATCCTGATGCAGGGCTTGATCCCAGGACCCTGAGATTATGACCTGAGTGGAAGGTAGACGTTTAACCAACTGAGCCACCCAGGTACCTCTGTGACTTCTAATTAAAATAAAATAATAAACTTTTGGTAGTGACAACAAAACTATTCTTGGGATAACGAACTACGTTTATTTCCATGTGGGCCAAAGTAGATTCTGCAGAAGAAAATTATGGAATCTTAGAATTGGAAGGAGCTAGGAGATAATGCAGCGCCCCTCGTCACACTGTAAGACTGTCACTGTAAGACTGTCTTGTCTTTCCTGACCATAACCAACCAGCTTCCACTTGAACATGTTCAGTCACAAAGAGCTCTCAGGATCACAAGTCACCAGTGTCTTTTTAGGACCCATTACCCGAGGATACTCCTGCCTCATGCTGAGTTAGAACGTGTCTTCAAGTAACTTCCACGTACTGGTTCCAGGACTGTATTCCTAAGCTCACAGTGTCAGCCAGTCTAACCAGTCCTTTATACGTGACAGTACAAGAAACCTGGAAATCAGCTTTACAACTTTCTTCTAAACAAATGTGAATTAATGGGCCCTGTTGACTTTGGAGAGGAGGAAAATCATTCGCTGCCATGGTAGCATACTGCCCACATTAAGCCTTCAAAAGCCATGTCAAAATAGAGGTTCATTTCTGAGACATAATGATCATGGCTATGAACAGAAACGAACCTGCAGATGGCATGAAAGAAAGTGCACTTCAGCTACAAACTGAGCAATGTTCATTTGTGTGCCCGTCCCTCGTGGTGACTTTCTATGTATTTAGAGCTGAAACAACGCTTTAATTCAATACAGCACAGCTACTTAGAAAATCACCTAAGGACATCTCACTGTGATTACTGTTAGCTGGGATCACAGGTAGTTGAGGGGGACGCTCATTACCTGGTTTTCAGATCCCACTGAAAATAACCCATGGGTAGGAGTCCAAGATGGCAGAGGAGTAGGAGACCATAGTTTCATCTGGTCCCAGGAATTCAGCTAGACGGCTATCAAAACATTCTGAACCCCTGTGAACTCAACCACAGAGCTAAGAAAAGAATACCTGCAACTCTACAAATAGAAAAGGGACCACTTTCTGCAAGGTAGGAGGTGCAGAGAAATGAATCCAAGGCAATATGTGGGAAGATAACTGCGGGGGTTGGGAGCCTCTGTCAGCCAACTACTGGCAAGTGATATAGCAGCGGAGCACAAAATAGGAACTTTTAGAAGTTTGCTCCGGTGAGGGACATCCCTGCCTGAGAATCACTCAGGAGGGGAAGTGGGATGGGATCCTAGGTAGGGCAGTGTGGTCTCAGGATCCCCGGGGTCACAGGAAGACCAGGAGAAGCCGAGAGTGGCAGAGCTCCCAGGCATCAGAGCAGGGAAGCTGGCTGGAATCAGGAAGCCCAGGAATGGGCTCTCAGCTCAGGGTTGCCATAAACCATGAACTGTGGCATAGTTGGGTGACCACTCTCCAAGCATAGGTTCAGGAAGCAGCAAATAGAGGTGAGACCCCTCTTCCTTCACTGGGAGAAGCAGTGCAGGTGCGTGCCACAAGAGTTTGCAGGACTTGGAGACAGGAAATGGAGTCATGTGCCTGAGACAGAAACGCTCAGTCACAGGCTGGGTAAGCACAGAGAGCAGATGGAGACCAGGGAGAGGGGAGTGACTGACTGCTTTTCCCTGAGGGCTCACTGAGGAGTGGGGCCCTGAGCTTCTGGTTACAGGGTTGGAGACTGGGAGGCCGCCATTTTCATTCTCAGCCTCTAAAGGTTGAAAGCCTTCAGGAAACAAAAGCCATAGAGAGTAAACAGGAGCAGATTACTTAGCCTGGCCCCTTGGCAACGGTGGTACAAAGACACCTGAGAATCAGCACAACAGGCCCCTCCTCCAGAAGATCAGCAGGAACATCTGGCTAAAACCAAGTTTACATACCATAGAGAACTGCAAAACTCCAGCGCTAGGAGAATATAGCATATAGAATTCATTATTTTTTCCCCACGATTCTTTAGTCTCTCAATATTAATTTTTTTCTCTTTTTCAATTTATTTCTTATTTTTTAAAGGATTTTATTTATTTGTCAGAGAGAGCAAGCACAAATGGGGAAGGGGTGGTGGCAGGCAGAGGTAGAAGCAGGCTCCATGCTGAGCAAGGAGGCCAATGTGGAACTCAATCCCAGGACTCTGGGATCATGACCTGAATTGAAGGCAGACACTTAACCAACTGAGCCACCTAGACATCCCCTACCAATTTCTTATTTTATCAACTAATTTTTTAAAAATCTTTTTTATTTTCATTTTTACAGTTACATTTTATCCTTTCATTGTATTTCATTTTTATTTTTATGTGTGTGTGTGTGTGTGTGTGTATTTCTTTCTTTAGAATTTTGGGATGCAGTTTCTTCTAACAAACAGACCAAAATACACCCAGAATCTAGTGTATGGCTCTATTCTCTTCACTGACTGATCATATTCTCTCTCTCTTTTTTTTTTTTTTTTGTTAAAGTCTTTTTGCATTTTCATCTTTACAATTACAAGAATGTAATTGTATAATTCTATCCTTTAAATGTATTTAATCTTATTTTTGTAAGTATATAAGTTCTTCTTTCTTTACAAGTTTGGGATGTAGTTTCTTCTAATAAACCAACCAAAATACACTCAGGATATAGTATAGTGCTCTGTTCTGTTCACCCATCTGATTATATCCTTTTTAAGAATTTTCTTCTTTTCAGTTTTGGGTTTCTTCTCATTTGTTTAGCGTATATTTCTCTTGGGTTGTTGTTGCCATTTTAGTATTTTTTTTCTCATGTTCATCTGTTCATCTCTGCACAGAACAACAAGATGGAAACACTCATCTCCAAAAAGAGAACAAGAGGCAGTACTGACTGCCAGGGACCTAATCAGTATGGATACAAGTAAGATGTCGAAAATGGAGTTTAGAATAATGGTTATAAAGATACTAGTTTAGAAAAAGCAAAGAAGACACTAGAGAATCCCTTTCTGAAGAAATAAAAGAACTAAAATCTAAAAAATAGAAATCAAAAAGGCAATCCTTATACCAGACAAATTAGAATTTTTTCCCTAAAGATTTTATTTATTTATTTGTCAGAGAGAGAGAGAAAGACAGAGAGAGCAGAAGCAGGGGGAGGGGCAGGCAGAAGAAGCAGGCTCTCCACTGAGCAATGAGCCCAATGCAGGACTCGATGCCAGGACCCTGGGATCATGACCTGAGCTGAAGCCAGACACGTAACCAACTGAGCCACCCAGGTGTCCCCAGACAAATTAGATTTTGAACTGAAGACTGTAATAAGAGATGAGGAGAGACACTATGTCATAATTTAAGCGTCTATCCAACAAGAAGATCTAACAATTGTAAATATTTATGCCCCTAACATGGGGGCAGTCAATTACATAAACCAATTAATAACAAAATTAAAGAAACACATAGATAATAATATAGTAATAGTAGGGGGCTTTAATAGCCCATTCATTGCAATAAACAAATCATCTAAGCAGATGATCAACAAGGAAACAACAGCTTTGAATAACACACTGGACCAGATGGACATCACAGATATATTCAGAGCATTCTACCCAAGAGCAACAGAATATACATTCTTCTCGAGTGCACAGGAAACATTCTCCAGAATAGATCAGATCCTGGGTCACAAATCAGGTCTCAACTGGTACCAAAAGACTAGGATCATTCCCTGCATATTTTTGGACCACAATGCTTTCAAACTGGAACTCAACAACAAGAGGAAAGTTGGAAAGAACTCAAATACATGGAGGCTAAAGAGCATCCTACTAAAGAATAAATGGGTCAACCAGGAAATTAAAGAAGAATTGAAAAAATTCATGGAAACAAACGAAAATGAAAACAGAATTGTTCAAAACCTTTGGGATGCAGGAAAGGTGGTTGTAAGAGGGAAGTATATGGCAATATAAGCCTTTCTCAAGAAACAAGAAAGATCTCAAATACACAAGTTAATCTTACACCTAAAAGAGCTGGAGAAAGAACAGTAAAAATAACCTGAACCCAGGAGGAGAAAAGAATTAATAAAGATTAGAGCAGAAATTAATGAAATAGAAACCAAAAAAAGAGTAGAACAGATCAATGAAACGAGGAGCTGGTTCTTTGAAAGAATAAGATTGATAACTCCCTGCTAGACTTACTAAAAAGAAAAGAGACAAGACCCAAGTAAATAAAATCATGAATGAAAGAGGAGAGATCACAACCAACACTGAAGAAATACAATTATAAGTTGAAAAAAAGTTGAAAATAGAGCTACCTATGACTCAGCAATTGCACTACTGAGTATTTACTCCAAAGATACAAATGTAGTGATCCGAAGGGGCACGTGCACCCCAATGTTTATAGCAGCAATGTCCACAATAGCCAAACTATGGAAAGAGCCCAAATGTCCACTGACAGATGAATGGATAAAGAAGATATATATATATATACACACACACATACAATAGAATACTACTCAGCCATCAAAAAAATGAAATCTTGCCATCTGCAATGATATGGATGGAACTAGAGGGTATTATTCCAAGCAAAATAAGTCAATCAGAGAAAGACAATTATCATATGATCTCACTGTTACGTGGATCTCACTGATATGATCTTACTCATCTCAAAACAGATGAACACGGGGAAGAAAAGAACAAATAAAATAAGAGGAAATCAGAGAGGGAGACCAACCATAAGAGACTCTTAATCATTGGAAACAAACAGGGTTGCTGGAGGGGGGTGGGGGTTGGAGGATGGGGTAACTGGATGATGGACACTAAGAAGGACATGTGATGTAATGAGCACAGGATATTATAGAAAAATGATGAATCACTGACCTCTACCTCTGAAACTAATAATATAGCATATGTTAACTAATTGAATCTAAAAAAAAAAAACATTTTAAAAAAAGAATAAAGGCTAACAATTTAAAAAAAGGAGAGAAAAGAAAAGAAAATAGCCCATGAGAGCCATCTGCTTTTTGGCCTACCAGCATCAACTTCTGCTTTCATTTCCTTCATGTCCTCATTCATCTGTAACTCCAGCTTGCTGATGCGCCCATGCACTTTCTCCTCTTCCTGTTTTGTTCTCTGCACTTCCATATTCTTCTTCTGACTTTCTTCTATTTTGTCAAGTCTGGCTGACATCTGGCTGAGCTTCTTCTCCATGTCTCTTTCGCTGGCTCCCTGAGATCCATGAGAAGAATTGCACCTGGTTATTCCAAAAGGAAAGTCTATCCTGTACCTGCATCAGTCATAGTATCATTTAACAACAATCTGCAGGGAAGAGGATCACAAAGGTGGCTTGTTGCTTGCTCAACCATCCACTCTCCTGTTTCCTTAACAGACCCCTGATTTTCAGCTGGTTGTAAGCTCATCCAGAATTAAGACTACATTTTCTGCTGTCTCCTGAGTTTAGTTTGGCCATAAAGATGAAGTTCTGGCCAACGAGATATAAGTAGAGGGTGTGTGGCAGCTTCTAGGAAAAGCTAAAAGGCAGCTGAGGCCTATCCTTGCCCCTTTTGGCTTCCTTCTGTTCCTGGAATTCAGACGTAATGGCTGGAGCACTAGTGGCCACCTTGAACTATGAGAACAAGGGTCACTCTCTAGAATTGGCAGAGTTGAGCCAGAAGAATCATGGGTTGTTGAGGAATGATAAGCTACCACATCAGTCCTGCATTCCCTATCCCCAGATAGCTTTTATGTGAAAGAGAAATACGATGCTGTCTTATTAAAGCTACTATTATCCTGGGGTTTACTGTTAGTTATTAACCAATCCACATGTAAAAATAAAGTTATCCAAAGACCACAGAAACCTAAAAACGTAGTAGTATGAATCTAAGTAAATCAACCAGTAGATCTGATAAAAATGGGAGAGCACTTAAAGAAATATTTGAAATATTAAATATTTTCTTTTCTTTCCAACATGCCTGGTTTTTACGGGAATCTGCATCCGTGGGTAAGCTTTGGAGGTCAAGACTATAAACAGAGCTGTAAGTGGACTACTGCACGACCTAGCTCTCTTGATGTTGTACAATGCAGTCTGCTTGGAGAGCAGCTCAGCCCTGAGAAACAGCAGAGTCAGACATGGAAATTGCTCCAGATGCTTTTGCTTCATCCAAGTCCAATAGGAGGAAGCAGTGCAAGAAAAGAGGAGGGAGAGGAAGATGGTCAGGCTAAATCACCAAACCAAAAAAATATTTGCTGACAAATACCAGTTTCAGAGCTTTTGAATACTCTACAAGCAAGGCTTTCCTGACGGTTTTTGAGCAGTTCTGCAAGCCTTCATTCTCTGGGAGAGTGGGGCAAAAGTAGAAGGAAAATGGAGGGGAAAAAGGGTAGATTTTGTTGACATACTGTCCATGACTCTGCATCCTGTGGTTATAGTGGGACAGAGGGGCTGAGCGGGAGAAACCTAGTCGACACTGTGTTTTCCAGATGATGAAATTCAACCAAAGTAGAATGAAGTTTGTAGTTAGTTTTACTTAGAAATGCAGGTGGTCAATTTGGTTCATGAAGGTCTTGACTTAAATTCACCTTAGCTGAAAGTGCTGAAATTTTCTACTTTGCCTTTATTAACCAAAACAAGCCTAAGTGCTCTCTTTATAACAAACATAGAAAAACGAAAGGATTCTAAGGCAAGAACAACTGAGCAGCTTAATGTGGTGCTAAATCAATCAATGCTAAGTTGGTAGGGATTATTCACGAACATTGCAGATCTCCGCTGAATAACTTTACTATATTATGCCATACATCAATACCTACACTGTTTTCCTTAACGACCAAGGAAAGCTGATCAATTTTCTGTAAAAGTTCTTTCTCTATCCGTTCTTGTTCCTGTTGCAACCAATTCCGTGCAGATAAAATCTCATTACTGAGTTCCTCAATCGTACCTTTAAATCTAAAATAAGAAAATCAGCAAGTTAGACGTAAAACAACCATAAAATTACAACATACAACTTCAGTCTCTATCAAATTTCTCATAAATATGTCAGCATGAACCTTGGCTCCCTCAGAATTACAAGCTTACCTTCCCTTTAGAATTGCCCTTAGCACTAAATTGGGGATAGGGGTGGGGGACAGGGAAGGAGGATACAACAGACAAGCACCTGATAATACTTCCTACTGCTGAAGACCTGATGGAGAGGGTGTGGAGGTGTCAGAGTGATACACAGCCACGCCAGGTGCTCATTTCTGCCTTCCCAGGGTGCCCAGTGCTCTTGGCTCAGAAGACACACTTCCAGCCTCCTCCTTCCCTGGGCTCTTCCTCCTTCTCCCTGTTCTCTCCCAGGACTAGAGCCTGACTGCCTTTCTCTAGAATGTTCTCCAAATTGCTCTTGCCCCATAGAGATATTTCCTAATTTAAACCAAAAAAGCAAACTGAAAGGAAAAAAAAAAAAAAAAAAAAAAAAAAAACACCCTCCATTCCTCTGGTCCTGATCCTTTCCAAATAATACTCCATGCTGGCTAATTTCCCTTCATTACTTTTGTATTCATTTTTTATGAAATGGAATAAAAGTAGGAAAGAACACATGACTTAAATAATAACAGTAATAATAAAATGGACACCGTGGTAGAAGACCCTAATTATCTGCTCTACCTCTTTTCCTCTTCTTTCCTATTAAGAAATCCTCAGATGTGTGGCTGACCAAAGACTATGTCCCCAGCCTCTCTTGCAGCTATGTGCGGCCATGTGACCAGCTTCAGCAATGGGACACATGTAAGAGTGGCAGGTACAACTTCCAGGGCCATGCCACTATAAAAAAAGCTTCTGGACCTTATCTGGGCAGAAAGCCAACCCCCAGTCCCATGCATTGTGGAGCTCAGCCTGCAGCCCTGCCTGACCATGAAGACTGGCCAGAGAGCACCACGACTTTAATGCATTCATTATTCTAACAGTGTTCTGATGTTGTCTTTAGAGTGTCTCTATATAAGATCACACCATCTGTAAACGGGGATAATTTTACTTCTCTTTTTCTGATTTGGATGCCTTTTATTCCTTTTTCTTGCCTAAGTGCCCTGGCTAGGACCTCCAGTACTGTGTTCAACATGAGTGGGGAGAGTGAACACCCCCACCTTGTTCCTGATTTTAGAGAAGCTTTTAGCTTTTCACTGCTGAGTAGATTATTATCTATGGGCTTGTCATATATGCCCTTTATTATGTCAAAATACATTCTTCCTATAACCAGTTCGTTGGAAGTCTTTATCACAAAAAGGATATCAAATTTTGTCAAATGCCTTTTCCACATTATTGAGATAATCATGATTTTTTTAATCCTTCATTCTGTTAATGTAGTGTATCACATTTATTGATTTGCCTATATCAAACCATCCTTGCATCCCAGGGATAAATGCCACTTGATCATGGTGTAAGATCCTTTTAATTTGGTTCATTAGCATTTTGTTCAGAATTTTTACATCTGTGTTCATCAGGGATATTGGCCTGTCCTTGGTACCATGGTAATGCTGGATTTATAAAATGAGTTTAGAAGTGTTTCTTCCTTTTTAATTTTTTGGAAGTGTTTGAGAATGATTGGTATTAATTCTGCTTTAAATTTTGGTGGTATTCATCCTTGAAGCCTTCTGATCCTGGGCTTTTCTTTGTTGGGAAGTTTTGGACTGTGATTCAATCTCCTTACTTGTTATTAGTCTGTTCAGATTTTCTTTTTCTTCTGATTCTGTCTTGATAGGTTTTATGTCTCCAGGAATTTATCCATTTCTTCTAGTTATCTAATTTGTTGGCACATGATTGTTAATGGTAGTCTCTTATGATCATTAGTACTTCTGTGCTAACAGTTATAATGTCTCCTCTTTCATTTGTAATTTTATTTGAGTCTTCTTTTTTTTCCCCCTTGGTTAGTCTGCCTAAAGGTTTTTCAATGTGGTGTATCTTTTTTTTTTTTTTTAAAGATTTTACTTTTATTTATTTGACAGAGAGAGAGAGAGATCACAAGTAGACAGAGAGGCAGGAGCAGGGGTGGGGAGCAGGTTCCCTGCTGAGCAGAAAGCCCGATACAGGGCTCGATCCCAGGACCCTGAGATCATGACCTGAGCCAAAGGCAGAGGCTTAACCCACTAAGCCACCCAGGTGCTCCCAATGTGGTATATCTTTAAAAAAAAAAAAATTCAACAATTAGTTTAATTAATTTTTTTCCCATTGTTTTTCTTTTTTCTTATTTATTATCTTATTTATTTATCTTATTATCTTATTTATTTATTAGAGAGAGAGATCACAAGTAGGCAGAGCAGCAGACAGAGAAAGAGGGGAAAGCAGGCTCCCCACTGAGCAGAGAGCCCGATATGGGGCTCGATCTCCGGACCCTGAGATCATGACCTGAGCCAAAGGCAGAGACTTAACTTACTGAGCCACCCAGTTGCCCCATCCCATTGTTTTTCTATTGTTTTCTATGCTCTATTTCATTTAATTTTGGCCTAATCTTTATTATTTCCTTCCTCCTGCTATTTTTGTTCTTAGTTTGTTCTTTGTTTTCTAATTCCTTGAGGTATAAATTTAGGTTCAAGATCTTTCAAGATCTTTCAAGATCTTTCCTTTTTCTTAATGTAGGCATTTATTACTGCAACCTTTCCTCATAAAAGTGCTTTGGCTGCATCTCATAATTATTTCAATTATTTCAAGATTTTCTGAATTTCCCTTGTGATTTTCTTTGAGCCATCTGTTGTTCAGGAGTGTGTTGTTTGATTTCCACATATTTGTGAAATTTCCAATTTTCCTCCTATTATTGATTTCTAGTTTCATGCCATTGTAGTCATAAAAGATACTTGATATGATTTTGATCTTCTTTAATTTATTTAAGACTTATTTTGTCAGGAGCGCCTGGGTGACTCAGTCAGTTAAGCATCTGCCTTCAGCTCAGGTCATGATTCCAGGGTCCTGGGATCAAGGTCGGCATCATCGGGCTCCCTGCTCAGTAAGAATCCTGCTTCTCCCTTTCCCTCTGCCTGCTGCTCCACCTGCTTGTGCTTTCTTTCTGTCAAATAAATAAATAAAATCTTTAAAAAAAAAAAAAAAAAAAGACTGGTTTTGTGACCTAAAATATGATCTGTCCTAGAGAGTATTCTATGGGCACTTAAGAGGAATTTGTATTCTGCTACTGTTGGATAGAAAGTTCTACGTGTCTGTTAGGTTTCTAGTTGGACAGGGCTTCTGCTTCTGCTCTAAGGTCAGGGGGTGGGGGGAAACACTGGCTGGGCTCTGCAGTCAGATGGGCCTACTAGCTGGGCTCTGCATTTAAGCAGGGCTGCTGGGCTACGCTACATGATCAAACAGAGCCACTAACTGTACTGGGCAATGACTTCTGGTCGGCTGAGGTCTCAGACTGTGTTCCCTGGCTGGGCAGTGCTTCTATTTGGACTCCATGATTACGGGCTGCAGGCTGAGCTCTGCAACTGCACCTGATCCAGTGGGATCCCAAGCTATACCTCCCAGACAAATGTTGCTACTGGCTAGCCTCCAAGTTCAGTTGGCTTCATGATCAGACAGGGCCTCAGGCCATGCTCCACAACTAGGCAGGCTGCTGGCTGTGCTGCACTATGGAGGGAGGTTACTGGCCGGGCTCCCTGGTCAGGTGGAGCCAGCAGCAGCTGTGCCTTACGGTAGGTGGGGCTGGTGGCTATGTTTTGCGATCAGGCACTCACTGTCTGGGCTTCATGCTTAGGTAAGGCCCCAGTCTACGTTCTGTTTTGGGGAGGAATTATTGGCTGGGTTCCCTGCTTGAGCAAGGCTGCAGGCAATGCTCAACAAAATAAGTGGGAGTAGTCGGCTCCACATGCTGGGTGGAGCTGTGGGCTGGGTTCTGAAGCTGGAAAGTACTGTAGGGTGGGCTCCAAGGCCGCCTGGGGTCACAGTGCAGGCTCCCTAATCAGGCGGGGCCAGAGGTTACAACTTTTATTTTCAGTGATCATATTTTCTAGAAGTTCTTTTTGTTTGTTTTCAATTCTGGCAGACCACTTTTGATAATCTCTCATTCCTTAGTCACACTTTTCAAAAGGGGTGTGTGTGTGTGTGTACTCACAATACATATACACAACATACAAATGTCTCTACATACACATACACTTATTTTATCCAATAATTCCCATATATGTCATATTTAGATGTCTGTCTGCATCTGCTTTTTCCTGTTTCTTCTGACTCTATCTCTTATGTGGCTTTTTTCCTTCCTTTGTTTTACAATTTCCGATTACACACTTGTATTCCTTAGAACTTCACCTGTTTGTGGGAAGCCTCCAACGCTGAGTATTTGCATTTGCTTACACCATGCATCTCAGGCCACCGCCAAACAGGATTATGCTGAGATTACATTATCCACTGTGGTTTTCTTCAAGCTGCTTGGGTAATGGGAATTCTAGCTCTAAATCAACATAAAGGCGGTATTGTGGGGGCAGCTGGCTGGCTCTGTCAGTAGAACATATGACTCTTGATCTCGGGGTTGTGAATTCAAGCCCTGTTGGGTGTAGAGCTTATTTTAAAAATAAACAAATATTATAAATAAATAAAGGCTGAATTGTGGTCCTGAATTTTCAAGGAATATCTTTTATACCTCTACCCAGAGCCAAGATTTAGACAGGTGAGTTTCCTTAGGCTCTCTTCCTGGAATGGGCTTTTTCCCTAGTTCACCCAACCAGGGGTTTACCTTTTGGGTCCCCAGTCTGACCTTCTGCCCCAGGCTTTGTCCCCTCTCCCCTGTGAACAGCCTTTTGTGTCTAGACTTCCAGACTTTAAATTGTAGGAAGAAAAATAAAGATGTTCATGTCTGCTGACTAGTAATATCTCCTAAGGAAGTAATTTGGAGAGGAAAAAATACCAAGATGTTTATTTTTTTCCTCTGTGATGGAAGGAAGAGGATTGAAGAGATTTTTTTCTGTACTTGGCAAGCTTGTAGGATCTATGAGAAGTGGTGACATAACTCAACAATTATATAATTACAGATAATTAGAGGAAAAGAAACGTGCTTTCCGTAAGAGAATTCCTGTTAACTCAGCAACAACCCTGAAACAGCATTAAGTATGGTACAATGAGATGTAAGAACCAGGAAGATGATTGATTTAAAATTTCCACGTCTCTAACACAGTTCTACACTGAAATCATCTTTAAAAAATAAATATTAAGTCAAATACACACACACACATATACAAACACTTAGAGTGACTACTGGCTCTGCTTTGGCAGGAAAATGCCAAGCTTGGGAAAATTCATGATAGGAAAAGATGGTTTTGTGACTGAGCAGAAGGGCAGATGATGAATTTCCCCATGGGCAAGTACAGTTTAAAGCATCACTGTAACAAAATAGGAAAGTATAACCCATTATAGGGTGTCAATGGGCTAGGTCACAATCACCCTAGTGCACACCTCTCCCAATTTACTACCGCAACCATGCCCCCAGCTGATGTCCCCATCTCTGCTTTGGCCCGATCCATTCTCCAATTGCCACCAAGACCATTTAAAGATAGGATATAAATCTTATTCTCTCACCCCATCTGCCTCAAACCCTCCAGCTCCTTATTGCACTTAAGTTAGACACCAAGGCCTTGGATGTGGCTACAAGGCCCGGCCACAGGCCTGCCTCCTCCCCAGGCTCCACTTTCCCTCCCTCTCTGTTCCAGCCACCACGGGCCAGGCTGCAGCTGCTTGGATGCCACACCCCTCCCTCCCATAAATTCTCACCTCCCTCAAGCTAGTGAATTCCATTCATTCTTCAGCTCTTACTTCAAGCACTGCCTTCTGAGGAAGGAGGCCCCACCAGCAGGCCTCTGTTCTTCACTCTCAGGGCGCCACTGTTTCAGCTTCCTGTGGCTGTGGTGACTAACTACCACAAACTTGGTGGCTTAACCTTTCATAGTTCTGGAGGTCAGAGATCTAAAATCAGTTTCACTGGACTAAAGTCGAGGTGCAAGCAGGGCTGGTTCCTTCGGAAGCTCTCAGGAGAATCACTGCCTTGCCATTTTTTCAGCTGCTGGTGGCTGCCTGTGTTTTGTGGCTTGTGGTCCCTTCCTTATCTTCAAAGCGCCTCCCCCCCACCCCCGCTTCCTCCATCACGCCGTGCTCTTCTCTCATGACTCTGCCCCTCCTGCCTCCCTCTTACAGACACTCAGAGGTTACATCGGGTCTCCCTGGTAACCCACGGTAAGTACCCATCCTAACATTCTTAATCACATCTGCAAAGTCCCTTTTTGCCAGATAAGGTAACATATTCACAGGGACTAGGACATGGTGATATTTGGGGACTATTATGCAGCCTACCACAACCATGTGCCTTTCCTTCAAAGCAATGATCACCATTAGTAATAATACAGCTCACACTCCCTCAAGTCATTATTTGATGAACGCTTATCCACTCCCTAGACTACAAGCTCCACAGGATAGGATATCCTCTACAAAGATAAGAACAGAGTCTATTCTTAATTTCTGGATGCTCAGCACCTAGGCCAGCACTCAAGATATATTTACTGCATGACAAGACAGATTATAAGCCAACTGCTAAAAACAATAATGCATGTAAAGTGGCAACATGCTACAGGGAAAGTTTTCCTCTTAACTTTCATGACTGTTTTTACTTTGTTTTGTGCAATAAATAAAAGTGAAGATGAAAAAAACTGTGCTACGGAATAGGCTTCCCAGGAACTTCAACCCCCAAAGAAGTCTGTTAGTTGACTACTTACTTTGTATCCAGAAGTTGAAGCTGGTGGTTACTGTCTCTGTGGGACATCTTCAGTTTGGTGCTTTGCTCTGATATCGACAAGTCCACTCTGTTCAAAAGCTGAGAAATCTGGGAAAGAAGCTTTGCTTGTAATATCACACCTAATTTTTTCAGAGGTAACCTCAGATAACATTTAATAAGCTACATTCTAGTCCATGACATTAAGGTTCAATATAATTTACTCAATTAATTTAAGAGCTCACCTTGTCTTTCCACTTCCATTTTCTATTATGCACACTCATCAAAAATCAGGACCAGGAGCACTGCCAAAATATTCATTAGGCTCTCAGTACTTAACTTTATAGTTCTCTGATAAGCAAGCCTACTTCCTCCCCGGGACCACTATGTCCATCTGCTGACAAAAAAATACAGTGTTTTGTTTTGTTTTTTACCCTGGAATTTCTACCACAAACGTGGCTGTTAGTCATAGAGAATGGAACTCTTGTCACTTACAAACACCATTAAGGTCCCAGATTTACAGGGTGCCTGGGTATCTCAGTCGGTTAAGCATCTACCTTCAGCTCAGGTCATGATCCCAGGGTCCTGGGAGGGGGCCCTGCATTGGGCTCCCTGCTTAGCAGGGAGTGTGCTTCTCCCTCTCCCTCTGCCTGCTGCTCTGCCTACTTGTGCTCTCTATCTCTGTCAAATAAATAAATAAAATCTTAAAAAAAAAAAAGTCCAGATTTACCTCCATATCAATTCAAGTCTCTAGAAGATTTTGTAAATTATATCCCTCCAACTCCTGTTTTTCATGACCTACCTCTTTCCCTTGTCTTTCTACTAAAATTTATTTTTTTTTAAAGATTTTATTTATTTATTTGACAGACAGAGATCACAAGTAGGCAGAGAGGCAGGCAGAGAGAGAGAGGAAGGGAAGCAGGTTTCCTGCTGAGCAGAGAGCCCGATGCGGGGCTCGATCCCAGGACCCTGAGACCATGACCTGAGCCGAAGGCAGAGGCTTAACCCACTGAGCCACCCAGGCGCCCCTCTACTAAAATTTAATATAACACTAGTCCTATATGACATGCATTTAGTTGCTGCAAAAGTTATGATGTTCTATGTTCCTTACTTAGAAATTCATGGAACAAGTATTTATTGGACCTAGAACAAAGGAAAAGTATGCCTCTTTTTATAGATTTCTATATGGATTTTACTTGGCATGACTACTGGGAAGCTTAGTATTTCCTAAGCATTTATTTCTTGATGTGATAATTCTGTCCTCACTCATTCTGTGAAAAAAATTGTTGGACTTGTTGTTTTGTTGTAGGGTTGTTTTTTTTTTTCATGGCTTTATAAAATCTGTGTTTTTCACATAAGTAGATTTAGATCTTCCTTGGATACATTCTAGACACAACCCCTTTGAATCCAATAAGTTGACCAGATGCCTCATTTCACTGGAATGTTCTCTTTAACCATGAGGCAAGTCCTAGAAGATAGGCCCCTTCATGGCAAAGGGGAACTTTTTTTTTTTTTTTAAGATTTTATTTATTTATTTGACAGATCACAAGTAGGCAGAGAGGCAGGCAGAGAGAGAGAGGAGGAAGCAGGTTCCCCGCTGAGCAGAGAGCCCGATGCGGGGCCCGATCCCAAGTCCCTGGGATCATGACCTGAGCCGAAGGCAGAGGCTTTAACCCACTGAGCCACCCAGGCGTCCCCCAAAGGGGAACTTTTAAGTGGCCAAAAAACAAACGGAAAAGCCAACAGTTTTGCTTCATGAACTTGATCTGTGGATTTCAAGGTGGAATAGTCTAAGCTTCATCAGCCAGCCTACCTTCTAGCTTTGTCTGAATCCTTTCCCACGAAGGACTGTGGTGAGGTAGCACACAGCATGAGTAACTACTTCCTGAACCCAAACTTGGGACATGTGGCATATAAAAGAAAGCCCAATCACTTACCTATGTAAGAACTGGTTTTGGAGCTACAATTTGGAATTTCTGGAATATGTTCATTGTTCTAGGAATGGGGGAAAAGAATCTTTACAAGTAGGACCTTACCAAAAACTCTCGGTGCTTTGCTTGCCATACCCATGAAGGGCCACTGCAGCGAGAGAGAGGGAGGAAGAAGTAAGGAAAAGACACGCACGTTCCGGGCACCCTGGCTGGTTTCTCAACACCATGTTATTCTCAGCTAAGAACAAATTACCTATTTTTAAAAGGCTACCTGGAATCGGCCTTACCTGTCCCTCTGCATCTTTGATTTTTGTTTCCAAGATAAGTTTGGCAGCTTGCTGTTCTTTGTTCAAGTGCTGGAGCCCCTCATAAGTTGTTTTGTGCTCTGCAGAGAGTCTGGCTATGCTGGCGTCACATCTGTCCAGGCAAACAACAAAGCTAACTCTTATTAAAAGTTTACAAACAAGCACTGAAGCTTCTTGACACACTGGAAAATGCACGACCCCCTCCAAGAAACTGTACTATGACTCATCCTTTTCCACAGACATTCACAGGATTATAGAGAGCTGCCCTCATTATGGTTTTTAAGTTAAACCACAGGGATGTTGCTTAATAAGAGTAGGGATGAAGCCATCCAAGCAGCAAAGGCTTTTACAAAGCTCACGAGTACGAAAGTGTACGTGCAATGAGAGCCCAATGACGAAAGGTTAATATAACGTGCCAGATATGGCCCGTCCCTCTTTGGTGCCATCCCTGTCCTTTCAAGTGCTTTGGGTCTTCTTCGGATCTCAGAGGCAACTTCTACCACATTTGAAAGTATTGCTGCTAACCTCGACCACCTTGCCCATGTGGCTGTCTGCTTTGAGTGGCACCATGCCAGGAGAAGCCTGTGCAACAGGTCCCAGCTGCAGTGAAGTTGCTCTGCTCCTTGGGCCTGACAACCTGGTAGTTTCGACAGTGCTCAGGGTATCTGCAGCAGGGAAGCTCTGTTGGGGACCTCTGTCAAACCCTACTTAGGAGAGTCAACAGGATAGCCCCCTGGGAATATGCAGCAAAGTCATGCCCCGTTCCAACCCACCCAGCCTGCTCGAGAAGTAGCTGGTGGCTTGCTGCTGGGCTCTGATAGAAACTACATGCCAAGGTACAGGACATTAAGTAACCATGCAATCTGGTCAATCCATCACGAGCACCCAGCTATAAAGGGAGGCATATGAACAGCATGCCATCTTCTAAAGGAGGTATACCGAGACATCAGGCTTCAACAGGTCCCAAAGGCATAAGTAAATTGCATGAGCCCAGACTCCTGTGGCATATACTCTTGCTACTGCCAGCCTTCCGTCAACTCACACATATGGCCTCTTGAGGAGTTTCTGAGCACTGGGTAGACCGAAGAAGGAAAACGCAGGCCTAGTTGATGGAAGGTGCCAATATGCTGACACCTTCCAGAAGAAGATTGATGACACCTCAAAGCCCACTCAGGAGTGGCCCTCAAGGGTATCAAGGAAGGGAAACCCTCACAGTTGGCAGAAGTTCAAACAATGTACCTGAGGATTTATTTTGCCTAGAATAAAACATGGCCAGATATTCACGGGCATTAGCTAATGGTGAGAGCCGTAGAGGACAGACACTGGTGACAAAGGGAAAGGGTTCTATAAATGGATTGCTCAGAACTGACAGAGCATTTCTACTTCTTGTGAATGGTCTCTGTATCAAAGGGGCAGATGCCCACAAACCGTACTTCCCAAACAACCTTGCCAGCCGGGTTCTGATTCAGATCCCGCCAGTGAGAGGCACTTGTGCCCCTCCCCCCCCAAGCAGGTGCTGGGGGGACACGTGCTAAACTGCCCATGTGAGGTTTACGGTCACCTCCAGGCACACACCTACAAATCACTTACTTCCATGTTACACACAGCTAATATTATCAGTGGCTCCTTGCTGTGATTCTTATACATGCTACTTTACTGGGAGCCAATAGCTGTTTCCCCTTCCTGTTGCTTCCCCAAATTTGCCAATGGTTTTATAAACTCTAATTTCCTGGATTAAATCCCTTCCTGCTAAAATACTTAGAATGAACAAGATGGGACCGGGAAGGGAGACAAACCATAAGAGACTCTTATTCTCAGGAAACAAACTGAGGGTTGCTGGGGGGTGGGGAGGAGGGATAGGGTGTCTGGGTTATGGACATTGGGGAGGGTATGTGCTATGGTGAGCACTGTGAATTGTGTAAGCCTGATGATTCACAGACCTGTACCCCAGAAGCAAATAATACATTATATGTTAAATAAATAAATAAATAAAAATAAAATAAAATACTTAGAATGGTTTCTGTTTTCTTGACCAAACCTTGATGCATATATGTAGTCATTAAAATTTCAAAAGGAAGAAAACAAAATATTAACCAACCATCTCTGGATGTGTGATTTAAAAAAAAAAATCATTCTTTTCTAAATTGTACAACTTTTCTGCAATAAGTATATATAATTTTATGATCAGAAAAACAATTATACAAAGAAAATATTCCAATCAACCACCATGTACAAAGAATGCATTACAATTACACGGAACATGCACTATCCTACCATCTTTCCCTGGGCTCCCCATGAAGCAAAAATGAGGCTGGGGCATGAGGAACCCAGAGCTAGAGAAATGTGGATAGAGTCACTGTCATGAAAGTGAGGTCAGGTTCAGGGCAATACACAGTAGAAGTCGAGAGGCTGGAGTTGGAACCCCAATCCATAATTTATTCCTTCAGTCAATAAGTATTTGTAGAATGACTACTATTTGTCACATGCTAATTATACAAAATGAGGACATGGTGCAAATTTTTTTTCTTCAGTACACGTACCACACAACCTAGAAACAATTTTTTTTTAAGATTTTATTTATTTATTTGACAGACAGAGATCTCAAGTAGGGAGAGAGACAGGCAGAGAGAGAGAGAGGAGGAAGCAGGCTCCCCGCTGAGCAGAAAGCCTGAAGCAGGGCTCGGTCCCAAGACCCTGGGATCACGGCCTGAGCTGAAGGCAGAGGCTTTAACCCACTGAGCCACCCAGGCACCCCACACAACCCAGAAATTAAAAAAAAAAGATTCTCATGCCACTACCACGATAATGTTATTCAACTTATGTGTATATTTTTCTATTATTGATGGAGATCTTATCTGACATTCTGTTCATTATCCTGCAACTCAGACAAAGAAGCTCAGAAGACCAGGAACTTGCTGAACAAGTTACTATAAATACACAGATTGAAGAACAAGCCCATGGCCACTCACAGTCAGTAAATCAGCGGTCTGCGATCTTCCTAAAAGCCCTGGGAATGTATTCTTTAAGATGTATATCTGCACTGGGGCCTCAATGAGGTTTATAAACTGTTCCCTAAATGACTTAGATACCGGAAAGGATCTCACTCACTAAATCATATAAAGTATTTGCAATCAACTATCAAAACTAGCATATTAATTGATAAAGGTTAAAGTATATATCCCTCTAGAAGTTTGAAAAATAAAATGTCAATCTATAGCTTATAAGCCTCAATAAAGATTAGAGGACATGCTAGTACTTGGTTGGGCTTTCTAATAAACTGTAAGATTTAACCAATTTACTAATCATTTTGTACTGAAATGTTGCACATTAAAACTACTACCTGCTCTGTCAGTGAAACATGGTGGACTGAACACATGCCCTCATTTTGCCTCCCTCCTGAAAACCCATCAAGATGACTCCAGATGAATAAAAAAGGTATAAACCCAAAAGGACAAAAAAGAATGGGAGGGGAAAAAAAGTCTGGGAGAAAGCAGAAAACAGACAGATGGTGCAGAAGATGGAGCAAAGCGTATGTTTTGCTACAGCTGGTGCTAGAAGCTTAAAGGGCTCCAGACCTGAAAACGAATAGAGGTAAGAAGAAGTTTTAGTTTCTAGAGGGCATGCAGGGTAAGAACAGTCTCCCCTCATGACAGAACACAGGAACCAGGGTAACCAAAACCAGAGACTTGAGTGGAGCTCCACCAGCCACGGAAAGCTCAAAAAACCCAAAGAGACAAAGAAACAAACAAAATAAACAAAAAACCTGGATCAAATGAGTTTAAAAGAAATATGTTTAAGATACTGAAAAAAAAATCAAATAATAATATCTATCAAGAGAACTCTAAATTATTAAACAAAAGTAGGCAGAAAGGGAAGAAAAACAAGTGGATAAGAGAAAAATGAGAGAGCCTAGAAGTAAACCACAGTGTCTTCACAGACCTGACGAATTCTGACTGGACATGACTGAAGGGAGAGTCAGTGAGTCAGGACACAGTAGCAAGGAGTTCACTCAGAAGGCAGCAAACACAGAGAGTCAAAACATGGGAAAATAGCTAAGAGACAAGGAGGACAAATAAAAAGCTATTAACATAAGTGACAGAGGAGTTAAGAAGTCCCTAAAGACGGAAATAGAGAGAATGGCCTAAGGGGTGAGTGCTGACAGTTTTCTAAAACTGAAGAAAAAAATGAGTTTTCAAGTGTTCAGTGAATACAAAGTGGCATAAATAAAGTAAATAGGGCATATGAAATTCTAATAACCCATTACAGAGAAAATCTTCAAAGCCACCAGATTCTGAAGACAGGTAACCTACCAAGGACCTACTGTAAGACTAATAGCACACAGTAGGTATCATAAGACAGCAGACATGGGGCGCCTGGGTGGTTCAGTGAGTTAAGCCTCTGCCTTCAGCTCAGGTCATGGTCTCAAGGTCCTGGGATCAAGCCCCACATGGGGCTCTCTGCTCAGTGGGGAGCCTGCTTCCCCCTCTCTCTCTGCCTGCCTCTCTGCCTACTTGTGATCTCTCTCTGTGTGTCAAATAAATAAATAAAATCTTAAAAAAAAAAAAAAAGACGACAGTAGATACCATAATGGCAGAAGACAAATGCAAAATAAAGACAGAGACACTTTTAGACTTGCAAAGATTAAGAAATGTATTGCCCACACCCTAACCTGAGTCACTAAATCATTTCTTTCATTAGAAAGAAAAGAGTATCCAGGAAGGCCTGGCTGGCTCACTTGGTAAAGTATGTGACTTTTGATCTTTGGATTGTAAATCTAAGCCCCACATTGGGTATAGAGATTACTTAAAAATAAAATCTTAAAAAAAAAAAAAAAAAGCATCCAGAGAATGGAGTGGGATGCACGAAACAATGGCGAACAAACTGAGATTATTGGTAAATTTAATATATCGCATATGCCGAAGAAAGTAAGCTACCAGATCAATTATTCCAACCTTAAAAGTCTTTTCTTGGTACTGACTCACATTTACCTGAAGTTGAACAACTTGTTTAACTCATTTTGTTAAAATGCTATAATCCTTTTTCGAAGTAACAGAAAAAAATTAATGGGACAAATTTTTTGGTAAATATTGACTTAAATACTTAAAATATTTT